AATCCCTGGCAAAGGGTCATATTTGACCCATTTCAGGGAAAGAGATATAATGACGGGATTTGGACTCGCATATCTTGTGGTCTATTAGTGAGGTAATTGCGGTCTACAGTGTGGAGAGCTCTGAAAGGTCTGTCGTGGCCTTCCGCTCTCGCAACTGCTTTCCGGTAGCAGCGTTTATTTCCAGGTCGGGTTGGTCCTCTAGCAAAGTGACTTATTAATGAAACTAATGTAGAGGTGCAGTTTCGTCCTAAAAGGACTTATATACGTGCGTATGGGCAATCTCCTACTTGTATTGCAAGAGGCCCATAGTGCAAGTGATCCATCGCCCGACCAACAAGCAGGAAATAGAGTCAACAAACGCAAACAACGGAAACAACATGCTTCCTCACTTGATTTAAAACAATGAATTTTGTTCCGTCAAGATATATGTCGTTGCGCGAATTCTGACTGTTCAATTTTGTAGGTCGATTATTTTGCTTATGAGGGTTTTGTTTGCCGTGTTTGTTATTTTCTAGCTAGGAACATGCTTATATCATTTTCAGGCATTGGTTGCGGTTGAGATAACAAAGGTGATTCCCTTCCTACATGTGATCCTCTCACGTCTACTTACATGTATGACACAGGTCCCGACAGAGACTCTTACTGTGGCCTTGCTCAGGTTTGTTATTAATAGCATCAAAAGAAACAGTTGAGTTTCCAATGGAATTGTGGCTTTCGAATAGTCGACTGCGTACAGTGCGCTTCTCGTTTCCTAGTTTAGTGCTTGTGAAAGTGTTTACGGGCGTTGGTGATCGGCTTTTCGGGTAACCCTGGCTACCACTTTCTTCTCGTAATACGAAAAGTATTCGTTTTCCTTTCATAACTGCAGTAGTAGTCGAACATGGTGTGGTCTTTACAGTGAAATCTGGAGGCAGTTTGATGCAAGTTCAACTGTGGCGTTGGCTAAGTTGAAAATTTTAACGACTCGCCCTTTCACCTGCCTCTCGACCCCCTTCCCCCTACACGTGACACTGATCCGATGTAAGACGTGACATGAGCAGGGCTGTATTTGCGAACCGTACTTGTGACACCACTTACCATTTTCCACGTCCGTCTGGGTAATAGCGTGCGCACAAAATAACTTGAAAGCTGTGTATTTGATGGATCTCAGGAGCTGTTCAGGTCTGTTGTCTCCATATGTGATCGATGTGCAGAGGCAGGTCACAAACACTTGCTTCGAGCTTTTGTTCGGCACCATTTTGTTACAGTGGAATCTGGAGAAGGCGCTACTCACAGTATTGTCTGTCGTTTTCTTCTATTGTTGGTAAGTGTAAGAGATGATGGAGCTACCTCTTTTTACATATTGTTGTTTTTACGGAGTTGAAAGTGCTCCTGTGGACTTCTATAGATCAAAATGCTGCCATTCTTTGTATTGATCTTGGACCCAAGGAATTACTTGAAATTTTTTTTCGTGTCTGGAAAAGCGATTTTCCAGATACCAAAAAATTTGCTTGCTGTACAATAGGTGGTGACCTAGCAGACCCCCTCCCCTCCTGTCCTTTTCCTGCTCCTTTACTGTGGACTGATGTTTTTCGCTGCCTTGTGCGGCGTAAGCCTTCTTGATTCATCTATCATGTTGATTTCAGTGCGTAGCGCGCAAGAATGGGTTAGGAAAGTGTTTTTTTTTGAATATTTGTAAAGTATACATAGCCGGATTGTGCCAAGGTGAACCGTGGTGGGTGTAAGTGAGTGCCTTCAATATATCTGTCGCTATAGTAGTGTTGACAGATGGAGAGTAGGAGTTGGAGTGTTTCACATAGTACCAGGATAAACAATACTACCGGCACCACCGACTGTCTGAAAGGGGGGAGTGAGCCGTGAAGGCTTAGGGAGGCGCCTGTTTTGACCGTTGTTTCTTTCATAGTGCCTTTATAATGCTAAATTTCATGTTCTCATGTGCGAACTCCTGCCTTAGGAGTGACCATCCGTCGCAATGTAAGCATGCCTTCCCTGCCGTAGTAACTCACCTTTCCATTCGTCGCTTCGCGAACTGCAACCTTCGCCCGTTTCATTATAAAGTGCAACATTTCGTTCGCATCCACGAACTACTGGCATTGCGCCCGTTTCGCTATAAGGGCATTGACCGAACGCTATTCGTGTTGCTGGAGTCGGAGCGCGCACGTCTGCTAGATGATTTCACAGGAATGCTGCGGTTTCGGACACAAGCGCTCGAACCGCCCACCCTCGGTGGCCGGCATATGCGCCCTCAAGTTACTTGACCGTGGCGTCATTTCATCCCCAACTCAGGTTTTCTGATGTACTAACCATACACCACGATCAAATGTCAACAAACAAAAACAAGCTCTCTGTTGAATCACGTGTCTGCAATAGACGACTTTTTGGACCATGTCATTTGAATTTATATTGATCTCGGCCTACTCCCTATGATTGTCCAATTTAGACTGTTTCTTTGCAAGACACTGTGAGTGAACTAGCCGCTCTTTATCGCCAGCTGTGGTTCTTTCTTGATGTTATCGCGAAAAAACAAAAAAAAAAAAAAAAAGTATTGCGCAAGTGTTGGTTCGACGATCTCTTCTGAAGGTAAGTCAGGCTATTAATATTGATGTGTTGATTGGGTAAGAGGTTTCACTATAGTGCCCAAGGAAGGACCGCTTGTCACCTGAAGTGCTGGAACAGATTGGCAATCTTATCACTGCGATTGTGCCACAGTTGATCTCAAAACATCGTGAACTGCCCAAAGAATGTCGCTCTGGAATTTCTTGCATCGCCTTTTTTCTAAGGGTATGCGGAATTTTAATTACTTATTTTTTAATTCGGCTATCCATGCCTTCATCAGAAGCAATTAACCAGTAAGTGGTTACCCTTGCGTACTATGACCAAGGTAGAGTGTCGTCAAAAAACTGTTTAGCCTCCTGCAAAGTGTTGGTCCTTATCATAGAGATCAAAAAAAGAGGCTCGAAATGGACCGCCACCGGAGAAATATTGAAAAAAAAACACCTTGCTTAAGCTAAAGTCTGTATTCCACATCGTTGACGGGTCTTACAAGTTGGCAGCCTGTTGCGGTGAAAGATACACTAACACTGATCAGGAGAAAATTTTAGGGACCTGGGGCGTTTTAAAAACGGTTTGTCTGCATTATGTAAAAGGGCCACGTGCTTGGACCATAAAAGTGGATTGTTTGAGGCCTTGGAATGCGAAAAAGTAGGGAAAGCATATGCAGTTGGATCCTCAACTAAGACCCTTAATTTTGTATCTCTCTGATTCCACTTTCGTGCGCGTGTATGTCTGAACCCATTATGTGAACGAAACCTTTCCGACATGAACCACCTGAGAGTAGTAACAAAATGCAATATGCTTCTGAGTGAGTAGTGTTCTGTCTTTTTTCTATCAATCCCATGGCTCCGTTAGAAAAAGTCGGTTCACAAGTTTTATGCTTTGCACACTTGCCCCTATAGATGCAACAATTTTCTTAAAGAAGGTTCGGATTCCACGTCTTGAATGACTTCCCTGGTAAGGGACACACATTGGCTCATCGCGGAAAGAGCTTGTGGAAGAGTGAGCATATGGGACGAGCGAAACGCAGGCGTACGCGAAGCCTTTCGCGTTACGATACTCGAGCGGCATGCGGCAGGGAGACCTTTCGAGCTTCCCTTAAGCCCCAAAAAACCCGCATTTTCAACCCCTGATCGGCGCCAAAAATGCCTTCGTGGTAGCTCTATTCTATTTATAGTTAACGAAGAGATTTCCTGTGAAGTCTGTCGTGAAATCGACTCAAGTATAAGTTTGTTTTGTGTATTCTCATTCGAGCTTTCACAATCTTCCTAAAATCTTTACATGATTATCATTTCATTTCAGTGTTGTCTGAGTTTTGTTGATCGTGGTGCTGTATTCAAATGGATCAACTTTGTCCTACAACGTCTGGATGAGTGTGATTCGAAGGTAGGCATTGTTGCTTTGCGAGGCTTGGCCCATATGTCATTGTCCTTAAAAAAAACAAAGCCTGTCAAGAATTACCACCTTCCCTGTGATAGCCAGGTCTTTCCCTTCAAAGGTATTTAGCAGAACGTGTTTTTTTCCAATTTGTTTGCTGTTAAAATTATTTTGTTTTGTTAATCGTCTGGGTGCTTTAGCAGACACTGCAGGTTATGATACTTTCTTTTGTTAACAGCAGTCCGAAAAATTGAACACCAAATATTCCTCCGTTCTCTTGCAAGCCCTTCTGAATTATTTGCCTTGTCAAGTGCCAGAACCTTCCAGCGTATGTGAGAGATCTTGACAACCACTGACGCACCCAGACCCCTTTACACATTTCAAAAAATGAGTTGATCAACGTCAAATGCTTGCTTTTCTTTTATAGGTGATAAGAGATTTCAAGCTAGACGTGCTTACAATAATATCTCAACACGAACACTGGCTGCCGCTGTGTCTTCCTGTTGTCATCGATTCACAAAATCAAATTCACCGAGTAATCAACCAACCATTTTCTTCTGATTATGGTGTTAGCTCAGGTCCGTTGCTAGTGGGATCATGTTTCCTTCTTTTTTTTTCTAACCGCTCATTTTAGGTGCTGGCTCTCGATTTTTGCCACGATTCCTCAACCAGGTTTTCCAACCAACTGTAACATCGATCGATAAGCATCGCTGTAACTACTATTGCAATAGGTTTCTGCTCACAAGTAAAATGTGAAATGAAATTACAAAGCTTTCAGATGCCACTTGTTCCGAAGAGTGGTTTTTGAATCCGACGTACATTTCCCATCATTTTCCGTCAGGGATCATTTTTCAGGTGTGTGCTTATGTTCATACCATTCATTTATATGTATATTTTGAGCTATTAGCTGTCAAAAGAAGCTCTGAATCGAAAGTATTCATTTCAAGTACCGAATTTTTTTTCGGAAGAATTAAAAAGTACTGCGTGACTTAATTGTGCAGCATGACATCCAAGTCTAAGTCGTGTTTCTTAGTCGTTAGTGAAGAATACTAACAAAGAATCAAAGAATAAGGCTCCCGGTGTTGAGCAGTCCCTTTCGGGGATGTGCCACACACTCTGTGTCCATTCAGAATCTAGCGACATCTGGAGCGGTCCGGCCTACTCAATGTCTTGTGAGGGCAGGAACGGCCGGTCTACAAGTAGTCTTTTAATCCAGACAGTTCTGCCACCATCCAATCGAACCGGATGGATGTATGACTTGGATGGTGTGGGCCAGATTTGACATGAACTTAGATCGCCGCACCGCCGCCTGGGGAAGTGGCGCCGCTTTCTACACACCACCTTCGTTGTATGCTATCTTCGAATAGATGCTACAAGCTGTGATTAAAAAGTGCATGTTTCAATCTTCACATCTGTGGCTCGCAGTGCGGTGCAAATGGCTAAAGACTAGGATAATTTGTGGAAAATAAGCACTGTTTTCGTTGGCTCGTTCTAGAATCCCTTGTATGAATCCACAATGGCTCTAGCGCTCTTCTGAGGAATGTGTCAGTCTCACCAGTATGTTGTTTCACATCAAAATAGTTTTCAAGGTGCTCTTCGATCAAAAACGGAGCGGTGTTGTCATGTTCTCTTGCCTTTTTCCAACAAGATGTTCTTTGATACGTATGGCTAGAACCAAAGCCAATATACGTATTATTGCGCATTTCATGGGGCGGAAGTGGTGTAGTGGCAAGTGGCACGCTTACCACGCGAGCGGTCCGGGGATCAAATCCTGGGTCGTGAGTCGCCCGCCAAGCCTTCCATCCCTCCGGGGTCGGTTAATTGGTACCAGACTTGTCTGGGAGGATAAAAAACACTGACTTGTACATCGGCTGGCCCCGCAAGTCATTGTATAGGCCACATCGCATTTAAAGGCAAGAATCAGGATTACATTGATGGGTTGATTCCACTCAAATGTGAAAGTAGGGATGGGAGGTGGACCGCCAGTGGAGAAAAAAGGAAAGAAAATCCTGAAATACACAGGAAATACGAGCATTTGCTCTATGCTGTGGAGAAGTTCAAAAGGCAGGGAGATGAGAGATAATGTGAGCGCGGAGAGTGGTAGAGAAGTCCGAGAAGAGAGAGCATAGCAGATCAACGCAGCGACGCAGACAAGATATCGAACGGTGGGCGGACCATGTTAAGTTTGGTGGAGTCTGTTAGAAGTCCATGGCGCCTAGGGTCCTGACGGTTTCGATGTAGAAAGGTGGCGCACTTGCGTGCCCAGCACTTCTAGCCATGGTAAGGGCTTCTTAGGTGGGTCTGAGCCCGAACTTTGCCTTCAAACGCCACTACGAATGTACAAATGGAAGTAGAATGCGTGCCGCATCCCAAAAGGGATTGATCAACGGCAAATGCTTTATCCTTTTTTACTGCGCATTTTATTCCACTAGTCGTCTTCATATTGATGATGAATGATAGCAAGATGATGAATCAAGATGAAAGAGATTCAAATTTATTGTCATGGGGTTGAAGACTATCAGCGGAATAGAACGTGTAGGCAGTTCTTCGGGGGAAATCCCACTGACTCATGGGCACGAGCTAAAATGCTATGACGTTAATAGTACTAATATCATAAGAAAGCTACTACATAGTAGGCGCTCTCAGTGTACTGTAGTATTATGTTCTCTTTTGAGATCACTGGCGGTCGAAACACATGAAAATAAAATTATTCAGGAGTTGTACGCGTGCATGCGGGAACCACGAGAATATCGGCGTCGAGCCATAGTGTTACTAAGAAATCTACTCGCTAAGCATTCATTCGATAAAAGATATTTAGACATGGTAATGAACATTTCTAATTTCACGATTGTTGTCACTTCAGAAATATCTTAATTTCAGAATATTCAACGTAGAATCGCAGTGCTATATTTGCCTTTTATTCGTTTTGCTATGGAACACACTAGTGAATTGGAAGACACTGTGGTGAATGATTTTGCTGAAGCGACGACGTTTTGCAGCAGTGAGGTTTCATGAGTCTAGCTGTATCGGCCAATGTTGGCATGCGCCGCGTACAGTTTTTGCTTCACAAATTTTCATTCAATTTCAAGTGTTAAACGTGCCAATCATTTGGTGTTCCGATCTGGGTCCCCAATCGGAACAGTCCGTTTTCACTTTTGTCCCTTCCTCTTGATTTTCTCTCAAGTCTGCACTATCTAGGACTCCTTATCACTACGCGAATGGCAGCCTATATGGGCTGTCAGCTAATGATCGCATACCGACCATTTGCCGTAATTTTTACATATTTTCGATATCGCAATGGTTGACGTCTAACATAGATTACCAAAATTACTTTGTGTTATTTATGTTTTTATTTATTTGCCAAAAATTCACGGATTGAGTTGAGCAAGATCTCATCTCACCAAAAATGCGCCGTCGCAAATGTGGTAAATTACATCTTTAATCGCTGAAAAATTAGCGCAGTGCCTTCAAAAATTTCCAACCATGTTGGCCTACGTCTGATGAAAATGCGGGCATGTTAAAAAAAAAACGTCCGGATCTAATGAATAGCCGATCATTCTGACTGTAAACAATAATTTATTATCCAATAAAAACATCAATAATTTGATTCCAT